TGACTCACCGGTGGATTTTATTTCGTTTTAATCTTCAATTAGTGGCGGAAAGTTTATTGCAATTTCTCCTCTTCCGTTCTACCCCCTAGATTTGAGAACTGGCAGTAAATGTAAATGTAAAAAGCTTTGTTTTCAAAAAATATAAATGATATAGAAATCAGAGGGTAGTTGTACCACGTTTCATTATTACTTTAGATTTATATTACTTTATAATTAATTAGAACTAGTTGGTTTGGAGTAGAGACTCTTGGGCCTTTCATGCAAGTGGGGTTGGAAAAAATGTACGTGACTAAAACTTTTTGTCGTTACGCGTCAAATTAGTTCCGTTACAGCGCCATGTTGCAGCGTTAAAAGTACCTGCCAAGGACCAAACTTCTTTATTGGTGTTAATTTTCTAGTTATACAATTTTTAATTATTTTTATGACTTTGAAAGAATTTGTACAACGGATTACATTATAAAATAAAGAAGTAAAACTGTCTATTATGGCAGTTAATATATCACATATTCACGTATGTTTTTGACTTTGAAGTTTGACGACGGATTACATTCTCGGTACTTTGAAATTTGCAAATCGCAATTATTTGCAGCAATTAATTTTTTTGTTATAAATTGTTATAGCTATCAGTGTTGGTTTAGTACAAACATTTACTGTTTTAAAGATATATTTATCTAATAAGGTACTTTAAATAAAACTTTCACTTCAAATCTACGTTAGTAGTCACCTATTATCACACAGTTTTAATTGTCATTTACTTTATTTTTATTATTACTTTGTAGTGTAAAGCATCTTAACTCAATTGTATAAAATACTGTATACCTAATTAAATAATTAATTCCATTTTTATGTTGTAATATATTGCCTTTAGTTTTACTTTATAAACTACCCTGATTGTAGTAACGAACCTCGTTTGGGTGGTTTCGCTCTCCGCGTGATATGTGTACTAAAGAAATCCCTCCCAACAATAATTGTTATATTTCAGTCAATTAACATACAACCATAATGTATTTTAAAATAAAACCTTCCTTTCAAACTACATTATCTACTTTTGAAATACTACGGAAATCAGGTCGGTAATTTTTGAGTTTGTCGTATAGAAAGATAGACGCGGTCTGGGACTTAATTTTGAATAAATAAAGAATAACACAGTTTTACCAACATCAATAATTTATTTCGCATTTTTATTTACATTGAGGCTTTAAATAGACATTAACACTAATCGGAGAGAAAATACTTATAATCTAACTTATTTATAAAAGTACTATAATATAGCTATTAAATGATGGAACTATATATTAATTTGCAAAAAAACGTGCACCTTATTTAACTAACTAAGGCTTATAGAATATTAATAAGAACAAAAGGAAAATTAAATTTTACAAAAAGATATTTTTAGAAAAATACAACTATTAAAGTAATTTATATTTAAACATCTTAATCTTTATATAGACACATAAATAATATTTCCAAATAGGACAATACATGACAATTGCAATGTACACATATTTACATATATATGCTATTAGGAAAATGGTAACGCATCATTAATATTATTTAAATAATTATGTACAAAGGATACAGGATATTAATTTGTCTGAACGCGCGACCACGAATTATAAAGACTAATTTTGAATATCTAACTCTATCTTATATTTTTTAAATAAATACATTGACATGGTCATAGCATGGAAACAAAATGTCTCTCACAAGTATGTTATATTATACGAGGTAATTAAGTATGACAGATATATTACTCATATCTGTCATTCTAAACAATCAAGGTACAAGGGTAGCAATGTAATGATGAATTTTTGCAAATGTGAGATTTTAAGTTTATACACGTATAATATACAAATCTCTCTTTATAATATAATACAATTTGCATACAAACAGGTTATCGAGAGGCAACATAGATAATGACATACACAACTTGATAGCATACACACATTGCAGACCTGATAATTTAACGCTGCTGTTAAGATTACACATAAACAGCGATTGCAGACCCGATAATTTTGAGCTTAGGTATTGCGTGTTCCGAAGATTACGACATCAACCTTGCGATTCTGTAACTCACTTTTCGAACTCACACAGCGGTTTTCGCAGCGGCGGTCGGCTCAAAAAGTCGTGAAGCAGTCATTTTATTCTTCTATAAACAATAAACTATAAGCTCCCACCTTTTCAGAATGCCGCTCAAATCAGTCGTGAAACAGTCATTTTATGATTTGGCATTCTGATAAGGGGAGCTTGTAGTTTAAGTTTTCTGACCAAAGATTTTTTATTTACTCTCACCCAGCTCCGAGAAGGAACGAACTTTTAGAATCAGTGCGCTCTTTGAATAACGCTCTTGGTAAAGAAGAAAAAGCATACACTTATACATCGCTTTAATCGAAGTCACACAATTAAACTCTCATAACGTCCGGCATAAATTGACCTGTCTTGGGCCGTTTATCATTGTGATAAACGATCCATCTCGGAGTTTATTATTGCGGTGCACAGACGAGGGTGGTTAAATGTCAAACAGATCTATGTATAGTCTGTGGAGAATTTTTTGTAATTAATCTTTGAAAACTGTTCGTAACGATTTTTTCTTGGAAATAAATTGCCGCGGCAAAACATAATTTTAATATATGTTACCATATATTAAAATTATATGTTTTGAATACGTGTTAATTGTCTCTATGGGTATGAGTTTTGTAGCATAGTCTGTCGTGTGTTGATAAACTTAGAACTTTGAAGGAATATATTATATACCTCAGTTAAAAACAGGGTGTTTTTGAGGTATATTTTCTTTTGTCACTAGAATGATAGGAACATATATATTAGCTATTGCAGGTTAATAAACTATGGGGATATTAATAATTATTTAAGTCAAGTTAAATACACACGAGGTTAAAAATAAACCAATTTAGAAATAACGTCAGAGCATTGAATTAATTTGTATTACTATTTCCTGTGTTTACTAATAGAGCGACTACAAAACATATACATTTTGATATGTTAGTCATGAAGAGTACTCATATAAAATATATAACTACAGATATTGTATATGTTAGAAAGACTAAGCTCGATTGAAGCTAAGCCCATAAACACTCCCAATGCCAACTGGCTCGCGAATGCGTTATGTTATATTTTATATCATTTATCACTGTATACCAACTTTTATTCAAAACATTTAAAGATACTTGCCCGTATCTACTGAAGGATCTAACGTGGCTGTAGGTGCCATCTAGCATTGCGCAGTATTAATAAAAGCTACCCAATCAAGCTATTAATCACCTACCCACAGCTTACAGAACACAATATTATGCTTTCAAGGAAGGTGATGGGGTTTTCAAAGGTACGGGGCTTTTTTGAGATAGTAAAATAGAATATGTTACATACATAACATTATCTATTTCGCTCTTACAACATACTAACATCGAGAAAATATATCAATATTTTACAAGAATATTCCAACTTACCGTAACTTTGTTTATCATGCTCTTAATGATGGTTATTGTTATTGAATTTTTATCTTTTTAGTTTAGTTATTTTTATTTTGTGGTTGTTTGTTTAATTCTTTCCCTTGATAGATAGCTTATGTTCTAATGTAATTGATGTTTATGTGTGTTAAATTTGCGATGTCATACTTTCTTATATTTTTTTAAGCATACACATTGTTTTAGGACGTATAAATAAATAATAAATTGTAATTCATGAACCGTGAGATTAGCTTTTAGTTTTAAGTATATTTTATTATTTTAGATTAAGTTTGGAAACTTTTCTGTGTTACATGTAGTAGTTATATTCTTATTGCACTTTACCCGTAATATTTCCTTTTTTAGTTTTTCCCTATTATGTCCTGGAAGAGATCGCTTGTTAACGATACGGCAGTCCGTTGCATCCCTAATAATTTGTGTTATTTGTTTTTCTTTTAATGTAACGAAGTTTAAATAAATAATTTAATTGCTTTTAATTATATGCATGCCAAATTTGTATAGTTGTGTGGTTTTTATTTTAATTCATCCATAATATATACCAAATTCAAGGCAAATAAAGGATTTATTTGTCCTGGTGTATTCCCATTATTTCCGTCCTGATACTTTGTAACTTTCAATAGTGACTCCTTCAATATTGACTTGAAGCACGAAATTCCAATTCCGACCTTAAAAACTGCTTTTTAAACGGGATAAATGTTTGTATGGAAGTTCGACATCTTCAAAATAAGAAACTACAATACTCGGGACAAAAATAGTTGTCAAAAATAATTTCGTTTCATCGACTTTTTCACTTCCACCATGCGTGAATTGCGCAAATTTTATTTCAAGTTCGTTAAATATAATATAATTTATATACAGAAAATATATCTTTGATATATCTATTATCTATTCTATATTTACATTTTGATAACCAATTAAAAATAAGATTATTTGTAATATGAATTAATTAGGAACAAAGTTGTATATAAAATAATCGTAGTATTTTGTATAGGCCTTCCAAATAAAATTCCAGCGGAAACGGACCAGGAACCATCCGCTAATTACATCGTTACGTAGCTTGTTAATATTTTGTATAACATATTTTTGTAATTATTCAATCATATTAATCCAATTATCCAAATATATATTATACATATTATAATATAAATTACGCTTATCATTACTTTAGCTTTCAAATTTACAAATTGTATTTTCTTTGTTCAAAAATATTTATTTTAAATAAAAATTATTTACGGCTCGCCTTCCCGTATTCTGTAACTGTCAATGATGGAGTTCAGTTGGGAACTAATTGGTTGACATGTCTTCGGCCAATCGCTGGGTAAAATGAGTTGGCAATTGAAAGAAAACATCGACATTACGTCCTCCACTCCATAAATTGACATTAAGACAACGTACCTACCTTCTCTGATAATTCAAACTACGATTAAACTTAGACCTCTCCAATTCAGTAACATCAGCACTGTATCTTTCATCATTTCTCTTAAAACAATCGCATTCCCTTCTGTCATTGTAGTTCTGTCATTCTCTGACATCTGTTGTCAATGTAAATCGAGCTGATTCACTGATCGAATCATCACGCACCTTGAGCCGTCTGTTTCCATTCATATGCTCGATGAACGACGTGTTTGTGTTTCGCGGATCGCGGTGAATGTTCTTCGAAGGCGAGAGGTGATTGAGACGGTAGCTCGCGCAGGAATCGTTCCGTCGTACGACAGTTCGTGTGGTGCCGGCTCTGGAGCTGCCGATGGGAGCGAACGATACGTTCTGCTCTGGTGGTGGAAGGCAGCAGCAGCATTTGAAGTAGGAACGGTGGAACTCGCGTCTGAATTTACCTGGAACAAACGTGGAGTTATGCAATAATGATGGGTAATTTGTGAGGTTTTAAGCTGGTTTCTGAATTACACCAAGGTTACAAAAGTTCTTATGTACAGTAAATTTTTTATTTATTTTTTAAGACTGCGTTTTCGTTTACACCACGAACCAATAATTATTATGAAAATAATTCTCATTTTTCAGAACTAAATCATTAAAACGATATCCAATATGTTTTCATTTAAATTGATTAATAAATTACGGTACTAATTAAATATTTAAGTTTTTTGTTTTTACTTATATTGCTACGTTTAAAAAGCCAGGTGTTATATTAACCTGGTCGTCAACATCATCTATAGACGCCTCAGGACTTGTCACAATGATTACACGACAAATACATTGCTTTTCATTCACGTATAAAAACTGATTTAGCTCACAGCATCTCCTTGTTTAAATGACACAAGAGTGACAAAGACAAAACATAGAGTTTATTAAAGGGTGTAGAGATAAAAAGGACGTGCGAATACATAACGAAAATATTGGGTGCATGCGGTTTCCGAATAACCAAACCAAACCACATACTAACCTGAAAAGCCTGGGAAACCTGCAAGCAAAATATTCTGTGTCGTATATTGGAGAAATCTAGATATATAAGTATGGTCTACAACAAGAGCATCTAGCAAGCTGTACTCTAAAATGCATCTTTGATATAGTTAAAAAATTCAGAAGTATTCTATGACTGTATTATTTATTGTCTACAATTCTACTTATTTATGGGCTGTATACACTCGTCTAGACTGAGGAAACCCCTGAGAAATAAGAGAGAAAGAAAGAAAGAATAACGTATAAATACTTATATTAAAAAGAGGAAAGATTTGTATGTAATGTTTGTAACGAAATGGTTCAAAAAGGACTGGACCGATTTTAAAAATCCTTTACAATTGAAATGCTACATTATCACTGATTAATATAGGCTTAAATATATTTTAATTGAAAGTAAAAAATAAGCCTACTAAATCTACAATAATGTTACTCAAGGTGTAAAAAATGCCTATAAAATATATTATCTTTCATCGCATGTGCTGCGAAAACTATTGATGATAGAAAAAAAAATTCCACAATATCAATGAACATATCAATATCTACAAAAAATCTACAGAACAAGCGCCAACTAGCGGCCCAGACTGTTTAACCGACGTTTGAACAGATTCAGGGTGTCGGTCTTTCGTGACGGTGCGCGGGTGTCGGTTTTTGTGACGATGTGCTCGCACATCGTAAAAATTTACTTTCATCATTTGTCCCTAACGTGCGGATTGCGGATGAGCAAGACACCCGTGTGTGCCCTAATTCCATACATTTATAGCAGCGCAGGGGGGCGCTTTTAAAAGAACTGCCTCCACCAAAAAAGTTTTGTCAGAAGTGGGATTCGAACCCACGCCCTCCGAGAGGACCAGAACAGCTCAACCTGTTTAACAGGTTAGACAATAAATGTCGACCCGCTAGTACATAAAAACAAAGTTAAATTAAAAAGAAAGTGCACTAGTCCCCACACTAGGATTGACTGTATCGTGGGCTACTCTTCCGTTTCCCCCAAAAAACCCCCCCCAGACTTATTATTTATTTTAGGTACTTGACAAAATTGGTTTAAGGCTTCTGAATGAGAAAAAGCGTTGGGTGAAGTAGTGCGTAAAGCAAGAGAAAGAGAAAAGAAAGAGATCTATTATTGTACAAATAATCCTACGCCGGTAAACAGAAACCGCCAATAGTGTTTGCAAAAATATCAAAACGGATGTTGAGGAATTGTACATATGATTTCGAGTTATTAATAATTACTTTAGTTTTAATTCAAGAATTACTTTGAGGGATTTATTAATATGTTAATTTCGAAATAATTTTTTTAAGTTATTAATAAACATAGCAGCCATATTTTTGCGTCTGCTTTTTAATAAATGTCTAAGCGAAAGCTCCAACCACGAGTAAAATAAAAAGGTTCTCAAGGTACTACTACTTATGATAAAAACGTTGCGAAGCAGGGCCGTTTTAATAAATTTTAAATTATAAGACCCGTTTTAATGGTAAAATGAAAACAAACTGAATAGGAACACTGGTGCAGCGTAGGCGGACTTAAATAGAAACCTTCAAGAATTCCTTAAGAGCTATTTTAATATTAACTATATCGTTGCTTAGCATAAAATACGATTTTTATTATGTTGTATCCATAGAACACGGACAGCCAATTCCAAGAGTAGCAGAAGTCAAAGAGTTCAAATACCTAGGGGTTCATTAAACGTAGAATTGAATTTTCGGGATAACTTAAAAAGAATATGTAAAAAAGCTTAAAGGAAAATAGGATTTATTTTGCGTATGGCCAAATTTTTCAAATCCAAAATCATTTATTTATTTAGATAATACAATGTACACTCACTCACAACGTCAATAAAGATATATATATTAAATTCTTATAATTTTACATTAACATTTAATGTCTCCAACATTTCCGCATTACACATTCTACCTCTAAGAACCCTTAAAATATAATGTCATAGTAAGGTCTCTGCTAACCTCTAAGTTGTATCCTACCATACCCAAGACATGGATACAAAACTGGGTTTATTTTGCGTATAGCCAAATTTTTCAAATTCAAAATCATTTATTTATTTAGATAACACAATGTACACTCACTCACAACGTCAATAAAGATATATATATTAAATTCTTATAATTTTACATTAACATTTAATCTCCAACATTTCCGCATTACACATTCTACCTCTAAGAACCTTAAAAATATAATGTCATAGTAAGGTCTCTGCTAACCTCTAAGTTGTATCCTACCATACCCAAGACATGGATACAAAACTGGGTTTATTTTGCGTATAGCCAAATTTTTCAAATTCAAAATCATTTATTTATTTAGATAACACAATGTACACTCACTCACAACGTCAATAAAGATATATATATTAAATTCTTATAATTTTACATTAACATTTTTAATCTCCAACATTTCCGCATTACACATTCTACCTCTAAGAACCTTAAAAATATAATGTCATAGTAAGGTCTCTGCTAACCTCTAAGTTGTATCCTACCATACCCAAGACATGGATACAAAACTGGGTTTATTTTGCGTATAGCCAAATTTTTCAAATTCAAAATCATTTATTTATTTAGATAACACAATGTACACTCACTCACAACGTCAATAAAGATATATATATTAAATTCTTATAATTTTACATTAACATTTAATCTCCAACATTTCCGCATTACACATTCTACCTCTAAGAACCTTAAAAATATAATGTCATAGTAAGGTCTCTGCTAACCTCTAAGTTGTATCCTACCATACCCAAGACATGGATACAAAACTGGGTTTATTTTGCGTATAGCCAAATTTTTCAAATTCAAAATCATTTATTTATTTAGATAACACAATGTACACTCACTCACAACGTCAATAAAGATATATATATTAAATTCTTATAATTTTACACTAACATTTAATCTCCAACATTTCCGCATTACACATTCTACCTCTAAGAACCTTAAAAATATAATGTCATAGTAAGGTCTCTGCTAACCTCTAAGTTGTATCCTACCATACCCAAGACATGGATACAAAACTGGGTTTATTTTGCGTATAGCCAAATTTTTCAAATTCAAAATCATTTATTTATTTAGATAACACAATGTACACTCACTCACAACGTCAATAAAGATATATATATTAAATTCTTATAATTTTACATTAACATTTAATCTCCAACATTTCCGCATTACACATTCTACCTCTAAGAACCTTAAAAATATAATGTCATAGTAAGGTCTCTGCTAACCTCTAAGTTGTATCCTACCATACCCAAGACATGGATACAAAACTGGGTTTATTTTGCGTATAGCCAAATTTTTCAAATTCAAAATCATTTATTTATTTAGATAACACAATGTACACTCACTCACAACGTCAATAAAGATATATATATTAAATTCTTATAATTTTACACTAACATTTAATCTCCAACATTTCCGCATTACACATTCTACCTCTAAGAACCTTAAAAATATAATGTCATAGTAAGGTCTCTGCTAACCTCTAAGTTGTATCCTACCATACCCAAGACATGGATACAAAACTGGGTTTATTTTGCGTATAGCCAAATTTTTCAAATTCAAAATCATTTATTTATTTAGATAACACAATGTACACTCACTCACAACGTCAATAAAGATATATATATTAAATTCTTATAATTTTACATTAACATTTAATCTCCAACATTTCCGCATTACACATTCTACCTCTAAGAACCTTAAAAATATAATGTCATAGTAAGGTCTCTGCTAACCTCTAAGTTGTATCCTACCATACCCAAGACATGGATACAAAACTGGGTAAAATGGGTACACTCCATATAACCTCATGTCTCTCGTAAATTTATTTTGAATACGGTCCACCAATAAAGAGAATTTGTTTTCTTGTGGGGCCCAAATCATAGTCACATTCTAAATGGCTCCTAACAAGTGATTTATCAATGCCATTATCGCTTTTATAATTTGAGAATCACAGAAAGAGTGGCGGAGAGTTTATTGCCAGTTCTTCTCGTCTGTTCTACGCCCTTGATTTGAGAACTGGCAGTAAATGTAAAATTAGAAGCATTTAATATGAATTTTCTTATTGACGTTCATAAGTGTACATTATGTTACCTAAATTAATAAATGGATTTGAATAAATAAAAATACACTCGAATTGGTACAGCCGTCTTCCAGTTTTGAGCTTAGCAACGTATTTTGCTATTTATTTTTACTAACAAAGATGGAGACGTCCAACTTGAAAATGGATACAATTTTTTTCCAGGCCGTCTACAACTAAAAAAAAGGCGAATCCACTGAAAGTCACTGTTTGTGTCACGAACTAAAAATCGCAGTTTTAATTCCGGGTTTCATAACCTCAGTAATAATAACGAAATAGATTCAAAAGTGTGTCTGCCTCATCAAACATTATCTTTCCATTGTGTTACAAAAAATCGAGGGTAAATAACCATCAAAGAGTAATTAGCGAATGTTTGTTTCTTTGTGTTGAGATTCCTTTTGTAACTTGTAAGACAATGGAGATTAGTGATTAGATAGTACTTGACGCTAAATTAAAATTTTATTGAGTATCGGCAATAAAAAAAATCAGTTGCGCTATAACCTTTTTAGGTCTGGGCCTCAGATTCGTGTATCTGTTTCATGATCAAGTAGGTAATCAGCCTCCTAATACACGCCGTCGACTTCTTGGTCTAAGGCAAGCCGGTTTCCTCACGATGTTTTCCTTCACCGTTCGAGCGAATGTTAAATGTGCACATAGAAAGTCCATTGTTCCACAGCCGGGGATCCAACCTCAGGGATGAGAGTCCCACGCTAAAGCCACTAAGCCGACACTGCTATATACTGGGTGATGCAAAAGTAAAGACCCTATTTGGTTCAGCTATAAAAAAAAATCTAAATTAGAAAACTAGATTTAGGTTTTTTTAAATGTATATTTGTGCCATTAAATTTCGTACCATTAGGATTTAAAGATGATGTCTTTTAAATGGTGACCTCCAGAGTTGATGCACATTTGAGCCCTATTTATAACATTTTGCATAACTTGCCGTAATACTTCCTGCGATATGTTCCTTATTTCTTGATGAATGTTTTCTTTTAGAGCTGCGAGATTCTGTGGCTTGTTCACATACACCCGAGATTTCAAAAAACCCCAAAGAAAGAAGTCTAGACTGGTCAGATCGGGTGATTGTGGAGGCCAAGGCAAACGAAAATCACGTTGTGTTTTTATCACTGATGAATTATTCCGTAAGAACATTGACACGATTATTCCACGTTCTTGGGAAGTAAAACGGTCCATGTTTATTTTCAGTATATTTTACATTTGTTCACTACATAATTTTCAACAACAGAATGATAGGAAATGTTCTATAAACAAAATAAACAAATTTTCTTTAGTGCCAGTACTTTTGCGCCACCCAGTATAAAATAAAGAGTATCGGCAATATATAATAAAAATACCTAACATGTAACACAATATTTAGATAATCAAGTATTTACAATATTTATTTATTTTATTTATTAACACTTCTTCGCGTGTACATAAATATAATACAATTGACACAATTAAATAAAAAGGACGAAAATAAAATTTAGATAAGGTAAAGCGCAAGAAGTGCAAAAATACGCTGTTACAGTGGAAGCTATTTGCTTTAATTGTTAATAGAGCTTTAATACAAGTATTATAAAGGATATTTTATGAAGATGAGGTCATGAAAATCAAATGATTCATGCACATTCTGTTCGTGTAATTTTAATGCATTAATTTAATCACGATTAAATTTTCATATTCATGCTGAAAATTCTGTATCGTTATGCAAATTTCATTGGATTGAAATCCTTTCAAATATGTGAAATATGATTTTTTTACTTATATTGACAGTAGCGTTGGCCTAGTGGCTTCAGCGTGCGTCAATCCCTGAGTTCGTACGTTCGATGCCCGTGCATAAACTTTCTTTCTATGTGCGCATTTAACATTCGCTTGAACGGTGAAGGAAAGCATCGTGAGGAAACCGGCTTGCCTTAGACCCAAAAAGTCGATGGCATGTGTCAGTCACAGAAGGCTGTTCACCTACTTGCCTATTAGTCAAATGATCATGAAACAGATAAGGAATCTGAGGCCTAGACCTAAAAAGGTTGTAGCGCCACTGATTTATTAATTTATATAAATAATTTATATATATAATATTACAATAAACAAAGTTTTATTAGCGTAGTTTAGAATAAAAATTAATTATTTAGTAACGAAAATAATTTAAATTAGTATTAGAATACATATTGATTTTTTTTAGTGAAATAAAATTTTAGTGCATTTATTTTACATTTTATTACAGTCATTCGGTAAGTTACGACTCCAAATCTTACCGTAAAAAAATCTATAAGGAACTTATGCCATCGTTTCTTTTCTCTTTAATTCGTGATGTATTTACTTACCACTCATGAAGTTGTAAATCAGCGGATTGACAGCCGAGTTAGCGTAGCACATCACATGCGAAATGAGAGCTATACAAGTCATGATGTCGCTCTGCCTCACGTCGTATGCCACCCTGTGGAGATATTGAATATTATAGGATATTATATGTTATACTGACCGCCATTTTCTACTTGTCTATTGGTTATAAGAGATGTGACGTTCACTTTAAAAAATCGTGTTTTTAATTTATCGATTGTTATTAATCGTTTTTTTTTATTTATCGATTATGTCCTTATTTTTTAAATTTAAAGTTATAGAATAATCAACATTGAAATTAACCTAATTTCGTGTTGATAGATTATAGGGTTCCGAAAATTTTGAAATTATCGATCTACCTACTCGTCTGTATTTCCTAATTAGTACTTGTATTGTTTGCAACTTTCTGTATTATTTAATTCTTACTAGAATAAAGTGTTTACTTTGATATCCAAAAAGTACTCAAAACCGAATCAGAGCACCCCACTATCCACGTGGTCTTGTCTGCCCTACCCCTAGAGTGTATATAAAAAATCGGAGCCGCGGAGAAAGAGCAGCCCCCACCCGCTGTGAATAAATTGCCTGTGCTTTGGTACGCAAGGGTGGAGGGGCTGCATTTCCCGTAGCGCCGGAGCTGTCCAAAAATGTATTATTATTATAGTTCGGTTAGGTTAGGTTAGTATATTAATATTTTTTTTTAAATAACTGTTCAACTGAAACTGATCAACTATGATTGATTTTCAATTATTTTTAATATTAAAATCGAATACAATCGATTTTCACTTTTAAAGAAATCGATTATTTTTCACATCCCTATTAATTTTATAAACGCAAACGGCCATTTCGAATGTGGATTTTGCTAGAACAGTGTGTGAATAGTCTTACGGTGCTAAATTTCCGTTAAAAATCCGTTACTTTTGTAGTTTTTTTGAAGTGAAAACTTCTTTAGCGGCGCTGAGCACTTTTTGTATGGGTAAAAACTTTCAAACTTGCGTCAGGGTCACGTGATGCTGATCGAAAAAGCGTAAGATCGAGGGGAAGGGAGAGGAACTAGTATCTCCCACTCTTTCTACCGTGCCTGAGTGTGCTGCTCTGTTTAGGCGGCGCAGGGCGCTTGCGCGAATGACCGTGTGTGTTTATGTACAGCGTCCCTCGCGTATCCAAGGATGGTGACAGCTGATTGCTTGACTGTTGTGTATTCGTAAATGTGAATTGTTTAAATTATGGAAATCGAACAAAGTGAATCTATTAATGAAAAAAGTGATGATGAAGTAGTGAAAGCAAATGAGTACGGTCTTTATTAGACACTTAAATAGGTTCGAATCAAAACTGTTTGTTTCTTACTTCAGTTATCATAAACCAATTGTATCAGTTGTAAAAATTTGCGATGATGATTCTGATAATAACGATGGTGTAAAAGTCGTCGAAATTATGGATGGAAGTTGATTTTTCTGAGAGATAAAATTTAATGTAATATATAAATAACGATATAATATTATAAATAACAACATATAAATTGTCATATTTGTGTACGATAGCGCAATAAATAAACATTGTATTCTACCTCATAAATGATAGTACTTTTATACTTATAATTAAACACAACGTTAATATTGAAGTTTTCACTTCTGCCGGCACTCCCGGAGTGCTCCCGTTGTTTTTTTTTATTTTCACGTGAATGTGCGTTATTTTATTTGCATTTTTTTTAAACTTGTACTAGACACTGATTTCTCGCGATCATTTTCAGATTTATTGTGATTTATTGATTTTTTGTAAACTTTAATTTTTTTTGAAGTTATACTTCTTTAGGCGCGTTATGAAAATTTGATGAGAGTGAAATTTTACGATGCGCGCGCACCTATGACACAAAATTCGGAGTGTGATTATAGCGTGCGCAATCTACAAAAGAAATAGAATATAAGCTAACTTCACGCATATTCTATTTCTTAGCTTAGCAGCTTAACAAGAATTTTGAATATCCATGACAATTGACATCTGACAATGACATTTACCTTTTAAACAAATATAGGAGTTTGAATTATTGTTTAAAATAAAAGATTCTAAAAGTACCTAGTTATTTTCATTATACAAGTGCGAATTTTATATGTGCGTCTGAATTATAATCAGAAATTGAATATCTAAATCAATACTAATTAATATGATAAAATATTTGTGAAAAAACTGTGCCAACCTTCCTGAGTGCTTCAATACAATTGAGGTTAACTATCCGTATGTATTATCGAGTATTATTGTTGATTAAAACTGAAACATGAACTTAATTAACTTTTGTTTATTGCGTTTGTTACAGCAACTTTTTAGAAATATTCTACGACCCTATATATCAATAATTGAGAACAAAGATTTAAGCACGAATACTAATAAGGAGAAAATGAAGGCTTGGAGCGATATTACAGAGAAGTAAACATTTTAATAAGTACCTGCATCTCAAAAAAATGATTACATTATTTAATCAAAACATGTAATTTTTCAGATTTAATCTAGCAAATATAAGGACAAGAGACAAAAAACAATTTCAGTGGAAGTGCACTAAATTGATAAAAAAAAAGAGTTGTCATCTTATCGCCGTGAAACTTCAAAAACAAGAGGTGGAACAAAGCCACCATCACCTTCTCCAGACACAATGGATATGGCAGAGATGATACCGCAACGGTTTGAAGTAGATTTCAATGAATTTGATTGTGATGGTGTCGAGGTAGGAATGTTAATTATAAATATGATGGTGATGTTCAAGGCTCAACCTCTCAAGCATAGGCACATACTTTATTCCCCTACAGGGTAGTTAGAGATATTGTAATACCTCAAAACATCCATGTTGCTCTTGTAGTACCGAAACTCTGTCCAGCCAGAAGTGAGCCCATTCCCACTTATAATGGACAGTGGGTATAATACACCTTAATACCTGAGTGCGAACCACTCACCATGACACTTAAATTAATAGATGTTATTTATATATTTCAGGATATTACAAATAAAATCATTTTGGAAACAATTGCTATCCCAAAAGCAAATAAAGCCAACAATGACAAGGTAATAAATCAGTTTTGACATAACTTGAATACTAAAAAAGCCAAACAAAGGTGTGCACAACAGTGACAACATAACTTAACAATTTCATTATTTTGTAGGATTAAAGAAAGGTTAAAGAAAATCATGTCGAACTGATCAACAAGAATCCCCAAACAACTCAAAAGAAACCTACAAGGAAGACACCGGTATTATATTTAAATTATCTCTATCTCTAAATAGAATAAAAGAAAGTTGCTATCCAGGTCTGTAGCATGTGCAACAAATTATATTATTAACACATTTATATAATTATATTAATATAAATGTGTTAAAAATTTTATAATATGAATTATAAAATTTTTTTATTTTGTAAGAGAATAATTATAAATATTTATTTATTAAATTTTTCAAATGTAAACTGAACTTTATTGACTATAATGACTCCTTTTCCAGTCTTTGATTATTTAATTATAATTAATTATTTGCATGCAATCAAAATCTATTTCTAATAATGCCAAAGAAGTATAACTTCTTACGCGCGTACATAAGTACACGCACCCTTTTTTTAATACTTAGACGCGTTTCCGGCAGCAAAAATCACTTGGAGGTGTTCCAATGAAGGTCCCCCGAGACTTCTGCATAATAAGTATCATCAAATAAGTGTAACGGCATTTAAAACTGTTACCCCGACATCTTTATATGTTCAGACTGAGTTCACAGTAGCGATATTATATCTTATATATTTATTATTATCTTATTGGCTTAGTACTATAAAGATAGTGTATTATTTTAGTGAATAAAGAGTCGTTGATTTTTGGATTCGACGGCCGGTTGCCTTACTTTTTTTTTGTTCATAACTTTAAAGGCAAAATTCTCACTTTATACACCACGCTCGCTACTAACCCACAATCAATAATTTATCATCTGGAATGAACAAGGTTTTCTTAAACACTTTGAATCTAACTAGAAATTTCATTATCTGAAAATGACGCCTAATTTAACCCTATCCATTTTAACATGATCAAAGACAAAAACGGATGTCGGAGAATGACAGCTGCGTAATAACCGGATATTGTTTCTTTTCTTCTCTATTGGTCAGAATATTGTAATTAGTATTAAAAAAAATTCATGATTTTGTTGATTTCTTTGACATACCTACCATAGAAGGAGCAGATAAATGGAGCAAAATTTTAACACTATGGCAACCAAGAGTCCATAAAAGAAACAGAGATAGGCAATTGAAAAGGTGGGCCGATGAAATCATGGAAATGGCTGGAAAGACTAAGACCTGGACGAGATTGGTATACAATAAGGAAAAATGGAGGACAATGGGCGAGGCCTTTGCCCGTAGGCACACAGAATCGGTTATCGTAGATTAAGAAAAACAATAGTTATAATGTATATATTTTGTATTCCTGATATAAGGCTATAAATAAAAATAAATAAAAAAAATGGAAGACGATTTTTAGTTATGGGATGGGAACAAATTATATATGAATAATGCGTCTGTTTTGCCGTATAATGCTTTCAAGGGGAAGGTGAATTAATTTATAAAAGTATGCCATTTTTCATCAATGTTTTCTTATGACGTTATCACGTAAAATTATCGTCCGTAAGCCGACTTTACAGACAACCAATTTTTTTTAAATTAATTTAATCTTTAATTAACAGGTAAGTATATATTTAAAAAAACCACCAATCTGAAAAGTTCTTGACAATACATCATCATCGTCTTCTTAAATTAATAAAAAAACGTACAATAACACGCTGTATTATACAAAGGAAAATTTAGAAATACATCAATAGTGACGTCATAATAAATAATTAAAAAAAACGATTAAAAATACCCGCTGTATTATAACAAAAGAAAATTTAGAAATACATCAATAGTGACGTCATCTTAAATTCATAAAAAAACTTATAATAACACGCTGTATTATACAAAGGAACTAGTAATATTTAAAACCTAGTTTTAACAGTCTAAACACGTGACCTCTACAATTACATTTGCACAACATAGGTTTAATGAGCGCTGTTCTGTAGTCTGTTTTTGCATTACAAACACCGCTAAATCCATTAAAAACGTTGCATCCTCGGCACGTGCAAAGCAATTTATAGCGGGATTATATAAGAATTTAATACGAATTAGTTTATTTCATTTTATATGTATACAAGCTTGGGATCTAAACCCTGAATATGTGCGTATTTAGAGACGAAAGAGTGTTTTAGTTAAAATTGCAATTTAACGATAAACGGCTCAAATACAAAAGTCTTTCCTCCAACTTTGATTTTGTTCCCTTTGGAGTGCCGTGGGGTTCAAGTGCACAGGCACTAATTAAAGATTTAAGTTGGCATCTGGTGACCGCAGAGCCGGTGCTTTCCTCGCTCAAGGAATATGTATCGCAATACATCGAGGAAATGCTGCCAGCGTTAAATGTACACTGTCACAGGGACCAAACTTTTTAAAGTTGTTTGAATTTTCAATTTATCAACTTTTATTATTATTACGATGTAGGTTAATATAGTAAACACTGTATATTTCTGTGTTGGAAATTAAAAAAAATTTTAAATGGCCGGCAACGCACTTGCGAGCCCTCTGGTATTGAGAGTGTCCATGGGCGGCGCACTTATCGATGAGCCTCCTGCCCATTTGGCCCCCTGTTCTATATAAAAAAAATATAATACACGAGGTGGTGGAAAGAATTCAACATAGATAATTGTAAAGTTATTATAATTAAATTTGTAAGCACAGATTAATATTATACCGTATCATAATAATTTCATTAAACCAACGCGATCAAGTTAATTAAACTTTGTATTTATAAATTTTAATACTAGTAACCCATTCGCGTAGAATCGTTTGTATTAATTGTTATATACACGATGTTTATTTAGGAATAATGTAGCTGGCATTATAGTCAAGTTACTTCCTACAAACAAGCTAAGAAACTAATTTTACCTCTTTATTTGTAGATTAGAAAAATAACCAATATTGCCTTGATTAAGCTATCGTGGAATATGGTAAAAAAGAAGTATTAAGAATATTCATAGCGCAAAATCACCTGCATCATGAGCATACCCCACATACCCACCTTCACGTAGGTACATACCCTCACTTTTACACCATCACACAACACAGCAAAATTAGTTATCACTTAGTTAAATGTATTGAATAATTTTTATTGTTTTGTTCCATTTTGTAAATGTTTGAACCTTATTTATATAAATATTTTATATTCCATCTCTGGCTATATTTTAAGTGTAATTGTTTGTTATTATATAATTTTTTTGTTAACTGTAGGATTACGAAATAAATAAATAAGAAAACGAGCATGATAATTATAAGAAACCTTTTCGATACTTGTATTTCCTGTACTAACATATGGATCAAATATGAAGCCCACTGAAGCGCAGCAAAAACTATAGTTAAATATCGATTGAACGATGTATGATAGGGAAGAGAAGAATAGATAATTAAGAAGAATAAGGTAGCAGATGACACAATGAAAATAAATAAGTGGAAATGGTGCATGTGGAAGTGGTGGGGCACATGGCAAGAGGAACATAAAAGTTTAAAGAGGAATTTAAATTTAAAATGTATTAAACTGGTGCCAAAGCTATAATAAACGTAAAAGAGGAAGAAAATTTAGAAAGTTTAAGAAGGAAGGAAGAAGCAGGTGGTACATGGCAGAGAGTGGCACAGTATAGATAGAAATGGCGGGATTTGGACGAACGAGAGAGAAATATAAATGTATTTAAATGTAAAGTATCGGACATAAAAGGGTTTTTTTGAAGTTATACTTCTTTTGGCGCGTTAGAGAAAAATGATGAAAGTTTAGGGATGTTTTTGAGGGTTGATAGCTTCAGAATTATTTGGTCGATGTTAAAATAAAACTCCCTAATTACTTGTAGAGAAGAGGTGAAGATGGAATAATGAATGATATTTATTTACAAAACTGTGTACAATTATACTTAAAAATTATCCTACACTTACAACTAATATTGACATGTGGTACCAAGATGCGGAGCGTTGGTTGGTTGCGCAGGTACCAGGGTAGGCGATAAAAATGCGGCGCGGCAAAAAGTTGGCCTTTTTCTGCACGCAGCCGTCGAAGCGTACGAACGTGTTCTTCTTAGAACACTTCGATATCGTAACCTTGCGATAACGCTAATAACTGTCCTTTTCAGGACAAATTATCGTATCACGACTAAACGTCTACAACTGTCCTTTTCAGGACATATTATTCTTGTTTCACGACAAAACGTTTAACAACTGTCCTTGTCAGGACATATTACCGTGTCCTACGACACGATGAAACTGTTCTTTTCAGAACACACGACCGTATCTATTCTGATGTGTTCTTGTCAGAGCACATCACTGTTTCATTACGACACGTTAATCAATCACCTACAAAAGTAAATTTTTACGATGCGTGCGCACATCGTCACACAAAACCGACACCCTGAAGTTAGCTATAGTCAACATTTTAGTTTTTTATATTGTTAGTGTCGTTTTGTCGTAGAATACAATTTTGAAAAGATTTTTATCTTGTTACGCCAAAGAAGTACAACTTCTAACGCGTGTACATAAGTACACACATGTTTGTTATTTTATTTTTTGATTATGGTAGACAAGCTGTATACACTGACTGAACTAAAAACTAAAACTTGTAATCCCACGAAATCTAGTTCTTAATCCGCCCAAAAAAAATAATATCTACTCCTTAACAATTATTCTTATTTTTTACTTTTAATTTTATTTTATTTAAATTTTTATTAGTTTTACTATACACCTTTACACAAGACTTCATTACGTACACTGGTAACTTTTATTATTATTATTTTTTTCCCCTAAGTATTTATTACATTCCTTTTCCATAGTTTTTTTCTGAGGCGCAAACTAGCAGCTGTGGTCTCTGGCAGAATGACCAGCGCTGTGGAACCTTCCGCTCCTCAGCATAATGCTGAGCCAGGGCCAATTACAGCCACAGCATACACGCATTACACACTTAAAACGAACCGAATGGGAAAAGGGAATTCTTTAAATTTTAGTTTATTGTTTTTGATATCTCTCGTTTTATTTTTAAGCTATTGCATAGCTTCTATCGCGGGCCTTGAGCGTGGAGAACGAATCCAGAAATTCCGTAACGAAAATAATCTAACACGATGACGTAACGTGACGTCTCACATCGGGTGCAGTCGGTACGCGTTAGAGTGAGACAGACTATATAGGCGTGTTAGTCTGAGTCTGGTAGAGTGGTAGATTATGGTATTAATATCAAAGAAAAAAAATACTGCATAAATAAAAAAATAATAAATAATTGCATAAGTTGATAAAAAATGCTATGCAATAGCTTTACCGCGGCAGTCCCCGAGTGCCACACGTTTTTTTACTTGATTATTGTTTTGTTTTTTTGTGTGTTTATTGTGTGTAATAAATGTTGTGTCTATGTCTAATGTGTTTAAGTCTTACCTCAGAACAGACACGAGATGAACAGGGAAATAGCAGACAGCAAACATGACGACCACAGCCACCAGCATCTTGGCAGCTTTGCGTCGAGAACGAAGTTGACCTTCTGTTGAAGCATTTGTGTGAATCGACGGCGTAGTGCGTCTGGTAGCTGCTAGCCCTGTAAAAATATCTAATTTGGAATACCTCAGCTACTTAACTAATTTAATGTATATCAAGCCAAGCCTTGTCTTTAATAGTATTTAACGAAATTCTTTTTTGTACATTTTTGAAGTGAAACTTCTTTAGGCGCATGAGGGTAAAATTTTTACGGAACGTCACGAAGATGTGCAGCGTTTTTGTCGAAGAAAAGGGAGAGAGCGATTAAAACCGATTGAGAGAGAGTGAGAAGGCAGATATACCTTATAGAAATTCTATTTTTAAAATTAAAATTTCGTAAAGAGAATTTATTAAATATTAGTATTTTATATTTTATGTAAAATAATTGATTGAAATCTCGAATGACAAATTGTAAATTAAAATGCCACGTGTTTTTATTATCGAAGAGATAAATTTAAAAAAAAAAATACAATTTTTTATAAATTTTCGACACTTCTATTTTAATGACAATTAAATTCATAAAATCCTTACATATCTTCCTTTTTCCCTCCCTCTAAGTCTCGGAAATCCAAAGTTTTAGATTTGTAAATATAACCAAGAGTTAAAAATTTGTTTGCCAAAGAAGTTTCACTTCTGACATGTGTACTTTGTACGCACGCCCTTTTTTACCAACAAAAGTTCCTTCACTCAAAATACTATATCTCTCAAACTAATAATTTGACAAGTGTCGTACAAATTTATACACGCCATCTATGTGTCAGCCTACGAACTTTACAGCCCACCTATTACACAATGAAGTATAGTCTATCTTTATACATATAATTCTACTGTACGTGTGTATGTCACTGAACTTCTTTTAAACGACTGGACCGATTTGAATGAATTTTTTTGTATGCATCCATCACCACCATCCAGGGCGCTAACCCTGGATGGTTTAGATTTACAAAACAGCTCGGCAGATGGCGCTGCTGTCGGTACTTTCATACTTTGTTTAATAATCATGCAGGACAACGTCTGTCGGGTCCGCTAATTACTTATAACTTAATTAAGTACGACTGACTTCGAATTAAGTTTGAAGAAGTTTTACTTTAATGTACGATTTAAATTTATTTATTGACAACACTTGTATCTCACTAGGCGTTTTGATGAAAAATCTGTTGCCTGACAGTAGTCTAAAATTATTTAGTTTTATATTTGGTAGTTTTAGCAAGCAAAATCAAAAAGTTTAAGACTTAATTATATGTATTTCATAAGGCAATACCAAACCCTTTAGATCTTTTCATCTCCGAAATATTCCTACGGGAATTCGGCAATATTGGGTAATGTAATTTAAGTACATTAATCTGGTGTTAAAAGTATTAAATATGCCTCAGTACTTTTATATTACGAAACTACCTTTTGGAAGGGCAACTAGAATCTTCTTTGTATTTTTTTTGACGTTCAAAGTGCCATTTTAGATGGTCTAATTGAAATAAATGATTTGACTTTGACTTTTGACTTTGACTTTTATATTTAATTTATCTTTATAATAAAAAGGTTACAATTATTATATATGTTTATCTTTTTAGTTAAAT